GGCGTATGAACAAATGCTTCGGGATGCGGCTCCGCCTGCGGTCATGGTTCCCAAGTACAAGTGGCCAACGAAGTTACTAGCAAGACCAAGGGAACCTGAGCGAGCCCAGGTCACGAAGATTGTGGAAGAACTGCCACCGCAGAGGGACGTCGAGGACGTCGGACCAGCCGAGGATGTTACGCTCGAGGCATATACCCCAAGCGTGATTGGCTCACTCATGGCTGTCGAAGCCCCGCCTGAATTTGGCACCCTAGATGCTGACATCCAGGATGGCGGAGGAGTTGTCGATTCAGGACCTTGTGGAAAAGTCCCAGACGAATTGGCCCAAGAATCTGAACGTGACGTATTCCAGGATGTCCTGAGCACAGAGGACGAGGACTTCGAGTTACCTTCGTCTCCTATACCTGGAACACCACTCGCAAGACTAGATGCGGCCTATGCCAGGTGTATGCGAGTGAGCGCCGAAGAACTCGATTTGGAACCAGCGGTTTACATTCGGGAAGGGAGTGAGCTTATGTCTCAGCTGAAGGACCAGTTAGTTATGCTACCTGACTTGGATGATCTCTCTCCTGAATGTGATATTGAGGCCGCTGATGTTGCAGAACCCGGTGAAAGTACGGAGGCTCAAGAAAAGCAGCTGAAGTCCATCCTGAAAAGGCACAAGAAGATACTTAGGAGACGGGAATGCTGCTCCACCTCCGACGAGGGGTGTCATCTGTGATTTAGATGTGGGTGAGGCCAGGCCAGTTGCCCAACGACCCCGATCGGTCGGTCCACACTTGGAAATCAAGGTGTTCGAATTGCTGAAGAAGCTCCTGGAAGCTACGCTGATCGAACACTCTGAATCTCCGTGGGCATCACCAATTGTGATCGTGCTCAAGAAGAACGGAGTGGACATTCGGATGTGCATCGATTATCGAGTCGTGAATAGCTTCATTCAATTATCGAACTACCCACTACCGCTGATCGACGATCTCATTACCGGCTTCGAAGGAATGATGT